TATATTTGTGCAGGATTGCAGTCTGAGCCGGTCAGCGTATGTTGTATTGGTTAATTGTTGTGCGTGGTTTTTAAAAAAAAACTGGTTTACGCTATGTTTGCAGTAGAATTGAATCCAGTGGACCTCTCCGAAACGCCAAGCCCCTGCGTTTCATCCAACGGAAAGAAAGACAGTGAAAGCAGGGAGGAGGAGAGCAGCCTCTCTTCCGACCAGTTGGTACCCGACTCTGCAGCACAACCGGTACCTGGCCTGCCAGCCCCCCTTTCATAACAAACAGCATCTGCATCACAGCTTCTTGAATCACTTCATCAATTCCTGTTTATTTCATTCAACAGGAAGAAGTCAGGAAAGACTCTGATGGAAGATTACAGGCAGTGTCTTCGTCACCTGACAACAGTGAGTATCTTCTGTTGCAAATAATTTTTCTATTACAGATGGCCGATTCTTCAACTGCTCTTTTCATTGATTTTTTTTATTTTATTTTTATAAAATGCACATATTTATGAATTTAACAGATAATGATCTGCTCTAAAACAGCCGTCTCTGGTTGTCGTTCAGCCTTTGTTTGCCTCAAGGCTTGCTTAAGATTTTTTGAGTGCTTTGCAAGCCTGTCCTGCTACCTTCTGTCCAGATGGTCCCTGTTTAGGAGGAGTTATTTTTCCTCTTTCACCACTGCTGTTTCAATTTGGTAAAGCAAATGCAGTCTGTTTAGAATTTTAAGCTTATGAAGTGAGTTTTTTTTTTCTTATGGCTTGTTATTTTTGGGAGCATTTGTGGAAGAAGAACCCAGTAGAAATAAACAGCACCTAATCATAAGTGACACCCCTGACGCCATGCCTCTGTGTACCATACTTTAGCTGCTCCTGTCCAAGAGGAACATCCCACTGAAAGATGCTTATGTCCCTGTCATGTGTTTCACACATGCCAAGCAGCCTGCTTGTCTGGTTTAAATACAGACAGGGCTAGTTAGAGGTTTCATTATGGACCGACCAATCTCTGCAGTGAACCGTGAACCATCCCTAATAGCAAAATATATCATGATGGCAGAGTCCACTCTGCTAGATAAAACTAAAAAAAGGGGAAAAATAGATTTTTTTTCAATCTGTAAATTACATATATTTATATATTGAGAAATGCATTATTTGTATAGCTTGAAAGTATTCATAGTGTAAGATTTGTCACATCACTAAACTGAATAGTATGAAACAATAACAATAATCAAGTTTTGTTTTGTTCACAGGTACATTAAAGAAGATAGACACGCCTTACTCAGCTGCTGAAGGCGCTCTTCTTAATGGCGGCACATGTGATCAAGTGTGAGTAGCCTGCTAATGATCTAAATGTTTTACATTATTTAGTGGCTCAGTAAAAGCTGACTTCCTATAGTTTGTAAATGATGTGGAAACAAGTGTTGAATTTACTTTTAGTATTTTCCATGTTGTATTTAGTAGGTAGAATAAATTCTAGAGTATAGAAGGTGTTTGTGTTTACATTTCCAAAAACAAGTAGCTCATAGAGGGGGTTTTAAGTACACTATGGGTATTTATTCTGTTTGAGATTTTTTTTCTCATAGACTGTTTGTTTGTTTGTTCTAAACAAAAGTTGTTGTGACGGACCAACTCACTATTCCATAGTAGTGAAGTGGAAGGAAAGTTGGTCATGTTTAACAAAAGTGTTTTTCTTTCACTAGAATCATATCATATCTTCTAAGGTCCATCTCTACAGCTATGTTAATGTAGACATTAAAATGGATCCAGCTCCATTGGGTTAGATGGAAAGGAAACATACATTTTTTTAAGTCTTGCTGCAGATTCTCTGTTGCATTTAGGTTTAAATCTAGATCAGGCCATCCCAGAACATAAATATGCTTTTATCTACGTGATGCAGTTCCAGTTTTGGCTCTGTGGTTGTTCTCTAGGCCGAAAGGTGAAGCTCTACTTCAGTCTTTGGTGTTTTCCAGCCTCTCATCTGTTTTCCTCTAGGTTTTCCCTTTAAGCAGCCACACTCATCCTAACACCAACTTCCCTGTCTTTTGTAAAGAAAAGAACCTCCAGACCATAAGATGGTGTTTGCAAACGTTTATCTTAGGGATGCACGATATTGGGATTTTGGCCGATATCCAATATGCCGATATTTTAAAACTCATGTAGCCGATAACTGATATCGATACCGATGTTAAAGCTGGACAAAAATAAGTAGTCATTGAAAATAGCAGTTTTGTTATCCATTTCTGACACTTTGAAAAATAATATACTCAAATATATTTTCATATGCTGATATCAAATTGATTTTTAAAATCTATCTATTTTACTTTCAAAATCTCGTGAAATTTCATCGTTCTGTTACAAACTCTTGTGATATTTTGCAAATTCTTGTGAGATTTTGTTAGTAAAATAGAGCGATACCGCGTCAATATATCAACATATAAAATATGGCAAAATTTTGTGAATTTTCGGGGGATTTCGTATAATAACGATGACATATAGCAATATTTCATTAGTAAAAGAGATTGATATGGTGTTTTTAAATGGCAATATATCAGCATATGAGGATATTGTGATATTTTAATGTATCAATATTTTTTCCCTCCTCTTTAGAAGTTTTTGAGGAAAAAGAAGAAGTAGTATTTTATTTTTTTTTAGACTTTAGAAACTCAGAAGCTGATCAAATATCGGGTTAAATATCGGTGGGGTGGCCGATGTCCGATATTCAGTTTTAAGGCCGATACCGATAGGGGGCCGATTATATCGTGCACCCCTAGTTTATCTGACCGGCACACATTCTTACATATTTGTCTCTGGCCTCTCCACATGGCTTTGTGGTAGTGAGTTTTTTTCTTCATCATTCCACAGCAACATCATGTTTGAGTGCAAAATATATTTTTAAATTATATCTTCCATCCGCCCTGTGGATCTTTGTGCTCCCTTAGTTATTGTGGGTTTATTTGCTGTTCCTTTAATCCCTGCCATGCTTCTCTGGTTAGTATAGGTAGATAACCATCACTTAATAGTTTTTCAGTTGAGCTGGCTTGTTTCAGTTTCTAGATGCAAAATATGCTGCGTCTATAAAGCACTTTTCTATCCATTCTGAGCACTTAAAGTGCTTTACAGTATAGAAACACTTGCACAATTACTAATGCACACATTCTGACACAGTTATGCAGAAGACATGGAGTTATGTGCCTTGCTCAGGGGTGCTGAAACAAGTAATTGGGCGAATCTAAGATGACCACTACTGAGTCACAGTCATGATGCGTGGAGCTTTGGATATTTCTTTATTCCCTAATAATAATGCAGTAGCTGTTTTCCTTAGTCTTTATGATGTTGTTTGCTCTCTAATGTTTTAAAAAATATCAAAAAACCGCTTGTTTGTTCAAGGATATCAAATCATTCACAGGTACACTACCTTACTAGTTGTGTTTCACATTCCAGTGGCAAAAGGTTGCACCAGATTATATGTAGGTATCTTAATAAAAAAATAAAATAAAAAAAATATGCTGAATTCAGATTTAAGCCACAATTTTTACAGTGTTGGATGTGAAAATGCTGCACGAAGGGATAAGTTACCTCATGAAGAGAGATTGATTTAAAATGACGGCTCTAACTCTGTGTGCAATCTCTCTCCAGATCAGTGAAGGTGGAGAAGATCAACCAGAACTTGTTGCAGTGGACCGTGGCAGATGTGGCCAGTTACTTTTCGGCTGCCGGATTTCCGGAGCAGGCAGTGGCGTTTCGCACACAGGTTAGTTCAGTTCAGGCTACTCCACACTTTACATAACGAACTGGTGAAAATGAGAGAAAAAATTTTTTTTATGCACAGAGCATCATCTCATCAACTACAATAATAAATCCTTTCAAACTCTTCTCAACAGGAAATTGACGGCAAGTCTCTTCTCCTGATGCAGCGCAGTGACGTCCTGACAGGTTTGTCTATCCGACTGGGCCCTGCCCTCAAAATCTACGAGCGTCACATTAAAGTGCTGCAGAGGACCCACTTCCTTGAATGTGACGACATCTAAAGAGGAGACCAGCGATGCTGTATGAACTCGACATGCATGCAGTTCCTCTACCATCTGGATCCTACCGCCCTCCTTCATATATATTAACATAGAGGGTGTGTAGGGTGGGAAAGGCTGCGTTGGAATTTGCCTTCACTGTGAGAACGACCAGAAACTGAAAGACAGTCATCCTACCTCTCATCGTGGTCTTTGGTTTTTCATTTTACCCCCATGTGGCGGCTTTTGCTGAGACGGACGGCTGCTGGAATAATCTAAATGGAGCAGCTTTGACTTTTTGCACAAAGTGAAATATTGAGTCATGCACCAAATGGACCGCCGCAGATATGACTGATTAGTGGGACATTGGGGGGTTGTCCTGTCAACTTTCTGCTCGATTCAAACAGAAAGTCACAAAAAGTATAAAGTGCATCAGCTGTGCTTCCTTTTTTTGCTGAGATTTAGGCGTCAAAGTCGACGTATCCGCATCAAAAGTTAGTCTCATTCCTGATTCATCATTCCACTGTCAGCCGCTGCTGTGGATTGTTGCCTCGGTGTCTTTGCCACACTGAGATATAACCCTCGATGTGTTCAACTCTATCTGTGTAGTCTTAATAATAAATGATTGTGGTCCAACAATACATTTTCATTCGGGAAACAATTCCAGCTATAAGTGACCAGACAATATGCAGCCCAATGAAATGTGCTCTTACATATAAACAAAATAAACTTAGAATGCTGCAAGAAATGTTACTCTTGCTGGTTATATGGAATCAAATTCAATAGAGCTGCTAAGCGACTGTTTACAAATGACTTTAAGAAATGCAATATTTTATGTTGTTTGTTTACAGCTGGTCTTTCCTGGCGCTGTGTTCTAAAGGCCAGTTGAACTGTGTAACATTCCATATTATGGAGTCTTCTTCTCAAATGTACCTTGTCCCCTTTTTATCTGTAATATGGAAAGCTCTTCCAAAGTTGGATAATAAAGCTCATCTCTCTCAGTTGGTTGTTTTTATAAGTTATTTTTTTATTGGCTTAAAATCTCTGATAAAAGGCAGGGTTTTACTTCCACAGATAAGGGGGGAAATAATCCAGAGTTTATAAACAGACCTTTCACTTAAAATGCATCTAGTGAAGCTCACATCTGGATGAAATCAGTCTAGCACTGTTAGTCAAAAGAAGGCAGCGTCAACAGCTCCAGGCTGCTGCCAGTTCAACAAACCAGATTAGCCACCTGACTTCCCTCCTTAGAAACAAGTGTCGGATTACACTGAATATATAGAAAACTTTGGAGCAATTTGTTTCGGATATATTTAAAAAACTAAAGTAGCAAAATACAAAATGACACATTTTACTAAATGACACACATTTTAAGGTAAGACTTTGCTGCAATTCCCTGTCTTCATTTGTAATGATCCAACAGTCCTAGAAAAAAAAATGCATATACAAACGCATCTAAATAAAATAGAATATTGCTGAATTGCTACTTTATTTCAGTAATTGCTTTCTGAATGTGAAACTCAATAAATAGCTGTTACAGATGTTTATCAGCTGGATGATTTTGGTTTATAGTAAATAAAATCCTCAAATTAAATTCCTCAGAATTTCATGATATGGTGAGTTTATGATCGCTGACATCTTCCACGGGGAGTATAAGCCAAAGATATCATTAAAGGAGTTGGCTCTTCACACTGATACAAGCATTCATTTTGAAAGTTGAGTGGAAGGAAAAACTCTGTGGGGGGGAGCTGAATCAACAGTTAACTACAGCCTTGACAGGCCAAAGATCTTGACAGGAGCTGAAGTCATTGCTGGAAGTTTATGATTATTTACGTATGAAATCAAGGTCCCAAAGTTTGGAGGGGGAGCAGAGAGCCAAACAGTCCAAGCTCCCTATGATCCAGTGTTAATTTTCCAGAGAGTTTCACTATTCCAGTTGAATTACTGAAATAAATCAGCACTTTGGTTTCATTCTGTTTTACGGTGATGCGCCGGTACTCTGCTGACCTCAGCACGCATGTATGTGTGCAGGAATGACTGTTCTTTCCAGACTTGGTTACAGGATGAAGGGCAGTATGGAGGAGCGGAGAGTTGGATAATCTCTAAACTCCTTTAAGTAGCTGCGATGTTTGCCTTTAGCCCACACGGTCATCTGGACGAAGGCCACGAAAGTGAAGAAAGCCACAGGCACACACTGGGTCATCACTGTGAAGCCAATCCAGGAGCCCAGCTGTGAGAAACAGGTTTACACACAGGTTCAGTACATGAACATTACCAGCAGGGGGCAGCAAAGGCACATCTCGTTTGCAAACATCGAAACGCATTAGAGCATTTTAGGATTTGGCATTAATCCCTTTGGTGTTAAAATATAAGAAATTCAATTATTTGAAGAAAAAAAAGAATGAAAAAAGCTTGATGAGCAAAATTATTCTAAAACTGTTCTTCAAATCAGGTATTCAACTATATAAAGAAGTATATATACATATTTCTATATAGAAATATATAGAAATATGTAGATCCTTACCTCATATGTGTAGTTTGGACAAGAGACTAGCCAAAAAATCCACGTAAAAGGATTTTTTGTTGGGTAAGGTATTTTCTTAACTTTTGAGCCTGAAGTTGAAATAATGAAAAAACAAAAACAAAACTGATTAATTAAAGAAAAACAAAAGAAATAGAACATCAAAGTAATCATGAATATTTTAATTGCTTAAAAAAAAACTCACCTTGTGATTTAAGGTTACGCAGCGCAATGTGGATTGAAAAATTCCCTACTTGGCAGAACTTTTGGAACAAAGGAATCAAATGATAAGAAGAAAATTAGGGCTCAGGTCATTTGTTTCACTTTTAAAAGATGTCAAGTAATCTCAAACGTACCAGGAAAATGTAAAGCCCTGTGTTCACCTGCTGCAGGCCATAATCTGGAAATGTTTTAAAGAAAAAAAAAAAAACAAACGACCAAAGATATCAACTCTGCTTGATGTGGAACAGCAAGTGTTGCATTAATCAGCTCTTACAGGGTGGGGTGTAGAGAGGATGGTTGATGTAATATGCCATCCAGGCTGCAGAGCACCAGTAATAGCCACAGTTCTGGAAGAGAAAGTCCAATTTATTTATGGAGCACATTTCATAGAAAGACTTTATAAAAAAATATGTGCAGGGCATAAACCAAGTATAAAACAGAAATTACATTCAGATCAGCACACGAGTATAAATAAAAAGTTTAGGAAAACACATTTGCATATATCCGGTGATATGTACCCCAAATCTTTCTAAAAACTCAAACCACAGTCCGGCGCCTCATCTAGGGTTTTGATATGCATCCAAGTGGTCATTTTAAGAGAGCCTAAATAAGACATTTCAGGTAATAAATCATCTAAGAGAAGAGTCTCTGTTTTATCTTAATTTGACCTTAGGCAGTTCAAGAATTTGAGATGTAGAAAGCAGAAATAAAAGCAGGGTCATTTGAGGAAAAAGGGTTCTGTGCTGTATAATGACCGGGTTGGGGAGGCGCATATCTAAGTTGTATGGGGAGGTGGGAGCTGGTGTGTCCTGTGGTGGACTCAGACTGTTTTTTAAGAACCGGAACACTGAATTTTAAATGTTTCTTAATGGAAAACTGTTTGATTCCCACATTTGTACAGGAGTAAAGAAATGATCAAATCGAAAATAAAAGTCTGGTAACAAGAAACTGAGTCACAAGCAAATAAATCAGTTTTACTCAAAATTGAATTGCTCTTGAGCAAAAAAGCCCAAACAGCTGCAAGTTCACCTTAAATATGTTTCTGAGAGGCATGGTCCCATGGGAGATGCGATGAACAAAAAGTGTCTCCAAAATCCTCTTGATGTAGTGGAAGGAGTGACACATACAGGCTAAGCTGCAGCAGAACACACACAAAACCACACATTTGCATATATAATCACAACATGGACAATTCAGTGATCCAGTCCTCTTCACCTGAGTCAACTGTTGTTTGTGCAAACCTTTAGATCCCAGAAGACAAAAAAGATACCGTAAGTAACTTACTGAACGACCCAGTGCTTGCTGGTAGTGAAGTCATATTTTGGTGAGTAAATGAAGGGAAGGCGGAAGTAGAACATTAGATAAAGGATCAGCGGACCAACACATTCTGCTAAAAACACCTGGAATGAAAAAAAGGGAAAATTGATGCATTCAAAATGATCCTTCTCTTCTTGTAGGGATGGATATAAAATTTGAAAATGGGTTAGACAGAAACAGAGGTATCAAAAGTGTTCATGTTTATTACCCAAGTAGAAGTATAAATCCAACTGTTTAACACTTTTGTTAAAGTTAGATTATCAATTAAACGTTTACTGAAGTATAAGTACAAAAGTACATTTTTTAAAACTACTTAAAGTATAAAAGTAAAAGTAACACAGTAAAAATGTTAAGGACAGACACTTTACTGCACTACCCTATTAAAGGAACATTTTCTACAATTCTGGATGAAAACTTCCTTATACTTAATTTTCTTAGTTTTATAACTAATAGCAACAGTGTAAATTTTTACTTTGCATCATCTTGAAAGCTATTCATTTTGGTATGTTTCAAACAAGTTAGTGCATTACAACCACAAAGAAATTCATTGTCTGGATGAAACAAATAGTGAAAATGAGCTTAAATAAAACAAAACTATTGAGTCTATTTTAAAAATGTAAGGAGTAGAAGTAAAAAGTTGTCTCAAAAAGAAATACTCCAGTAAAGTATAGAAAGCCAACATTTTTTACTTAATTAAGGTTACAAAGTATTTGTAGTTTTTTAATTGACACCTCTAGACAGAAATATAAAAAATTACTACTTAAATTTTCTGTTTAACAGGCAGTTAAACAAATATCAATATAAATCGTCAATTAATCTGCATTGCAGCTGTCAAAGCTTTTTCTAGTTAGGGATGTAATTTGGTAGGGAGGAACATGAGAGACAAACAGCTATTTCCTTCATGCTGTCATGGGTATCCCCTTTTGGGACTCTGAGTTTTTAGTTTTCAGTTAGTTTTGGTTTATTTTCCATTATATTTAAGCAGTCTTTAGTTACTCTCTGTTGCCCCCTTGTACTTATCTCCTTTCCCCTTGGCTTCCTTCTACTTCAGGCATCCCCAAAGTCGATCCTTGGGGGGGCCACTGTCCTGCAGGTTTTAGAGGTTCCCCTGCTTTAGCACAGCTGATTATGATGAATGCAGTTGAGCAAAAGCCTGTTAATCAGCTTTCAATTAAAACCAGCTGTGCTGGAGCAGAGAAACCTCTAAAACCTGCAGGACAGCGGCCCTCGAGGACCGACTTTGGGGATGCCTGTTCTACTCAGTTCCACTCACACCTGGTCCTTATTCAGCTCATTAGTCCATCCTTTGTTCTGTTCCCCTTATATACTCCACCTCTGTAGTCACTCATTGCTGGTTCCTTGTTTTTGTTTTGTTGTTCCTTCCTCTCTGGCTTCCAACGTGAGTTTTCTACTGATGCTTTCTGGATTTTTTTTCTTAGTAGCTTGGATTTTTGATTGATTGCCTCTGTTTTTTCATTTAATCTACAAGATTCACCTCTGCCTCTTGGTCTCTGCATTTGGGTCCTCAACCAACCTCCATACAAATCGTGACACATCCAAAGAGATAAACATTTACTTTACTTTGCTGAAACAGCAAACATTTCTTTTGTCTGAGTTTGAGCTTTTTACCAATGAACAGTCGAGTGAGTAAAAGAGCAAAAAAGGGATAAGTATACGGAGCCCCTTGCAAAAGCCCACTCTTAAGTATGGTTGAGGATCTATGATGCTGTGGGCCTTTTTCTCTTTCAAAGGCATTGGGAATATTTTTGGAATCCATAAAATCAAGACTGCTTTGAAAAAGCAAGAAATTTAAAATCCTTTGGAGACAACCAGTTTAATGAAAATGGGTAACTGTGAATCTTTTTAAAGTAAAAAGAACTCTGACCAGATCAACACAAAAATGGAGAACTGAATACAAAACTACCTCGAGGACCATTAAAGTCCTAAGACTCTTACAGAAAACCTGCACAGCACTGAATAAAGCGTAGTCACCAGTAAAAGTTAAATATTGCATATCTGACAGGAATGTTGGCTGTGTAACATATCTGCTAAAAGAAGATCCATCATGTAACTGATACCAGAAGAGGCCCTGGCTTCTCTGACGGCTCGTCTTACCTTGGCACCTCAACACACAAACAGTCGTCCTACTTTCTCTGAGCCGTGACATTCGATGCAAAATACTACATCTATAAAGCAAATCACACCACTTGTCCCATATACACTATATTGCCAAAAGTATTTGCTCACCTGCCTTGACTCACATATGAGCTTAAGTGACATCCCGTTCCTAATCCACACCAGACTCTGTCATCCATGTCTTTATGGACCTTGCTTTGTGCACTGGTGCACAGTCATGTTGGAAGAGGAAGGGGCCAGCTCCAAACTGTTCCCACAAAGTTGGGAGCATGGAATTGTCCAAAATGTCTTGGTATGCTGAAGCATTCAGAGTTCCTATCACTGGAACTAAGGGGCCAAGCCCAGCTCCTGAAAAACAACCTCACACCATAATCCCCCCTCCACCAAACTTTACACTTGGCACAATGCAGTCAGACAAGTACCGTTCTCCTGGCAACCGCCAAACCCAGACCCGTCCATCAGATTGCCAGATGGAGAAGCGCGATTCGTCACTCCAGAGAACGCGTCTCCACTGCTCTAGAGTCCAGTGGCGGCGTGCTTTACACCACCGCATCCGACGCTTTGCATTGCACTTGGTGATGTATGGCTTGGATGCAGCTGCTCGACCATGGAAACCCATTCCATGAAGCTCTCTGCGCACTGTTCTTGAGCTAATCTGAAGGCCACATGAAGTTTGGAGGTCTGTAGTGATTGACTCTGCAGAAAGTTGGCGACCTCTTCGCACTATGCGCTTCAGCATCCGCTGACCCCGCTCCGTCAGTTTACGTGGCCTACCACTTCGTGGCTGAGTTGCTGTCGTTACCAAACACTTCCATTTTCTTATAATACAGCTGACAGTTGACTGTGGAATATTTAGGAGCGAGGAAATTTCACGACTGGATTTGTTGCACAGGTGGCATCCTATCACAGTTCCACGCTGGAATTCACTGAGCTCCTGAGAGCGACCCATTCTTTCACAAATGTTTGTAAAAACAGTCTGCATGCCTAGGTGCTTGAATTTATACACCTGTGGCCATGGAAGTGATTGGAACACCTGATTCCAATAATTTGGATGGGTGAGCAAATACTTTTGGCAATATAGTGTATATACAATCAAGTCGGGCCCCGCAGCCCACAGTGAAACAGATTCCTGAGTCAGCACCTCCAGGAAATCCTTGGCTCAGGTTACCTGACCAGTAGCCTCAGTTGGGCCTGTGCTGGGACACGTCATAGCTCTCCACCCACACCGTCATCTATGAAGGTGACGGGGGTTACGTTAGCGTCGGTTAGGGGATGGATGGATGGACGGCATGGATGAGGGTAAATAAAGAAGCCTAGTAAAAGGCAAGTGAGAGGTCAGAGGGATAAACAGCTTCAGCAGAAATGGGGCCATGAGATTATATGTCCTACTGGAGAGGACACAGTACAGGCGGTGGGAGGGGTGGGGTAGGGGGTGAGACGACAGCAAATCACCTCTATCTGTCACTGCAGACTGATATTTATGTTCAGGAGGTACTGAGGGTGTTGGTTTATATTTAAAACTCATGAATGTTGGTGGACTACAGAAGCGGTTTTAGATTCTTTCAAATATAAAGGTTGATCCGTCTCAGGTTTTAATCTGCCGATTTTTTAATAAGAGCTAAAGAGTAGGACATTAACTTAAAAATGATGGAATATTAACTAATGAATATAAAAAACAACATTTAAACCTTTAATAATAAAGTGGCTAAATTCAGCATTTTCCCATTAAATGGTGAAAAACATTGAGTGTGTCTGTGTGGACTCACTGTTCCCCACGTGAGCTGGGGTCCCAGGTCACTGAAATAAAAGCTGGCAGTGGTTCCCACCGGTAGTGTTTGGAGAACTTCTTCATCCCTGAGACTCTTGGCCTCTAAAAAAAAAATTAAACAATCAGATAATATCTTGTTTTTCCATCCCCGTATTTCTAATCATTGAGTTTGAATGTATAGAAGAGGAGGAAGAAGGGGCTGCAGATGTACTTGGATCCAAATGCAGAGACTGTCTGGCTGGATACCACTTTGGATCTGAGAAAAGAAGACAATGGGAACTGCAATTTTAGCATTCAAAATATTAAATACTCTTTTTTTTCCCTTTTTTAAACCAATTTGACAAAGAGCACAACCTCAAATGATCAAGACTGCCTGGATAACAAACTTACATGATTTGTGAAACAAGGCTTTGATATCCAAAACTGTGGCGGTTGGCTCCACCTGGAACCAAATTATGGATATATATTAATATATATGATAGATGCCACACCATGCATTTATAACATATATTACAATTATTTCATATCCATGATGTTTTTTTGTTGTTTTTCTCAGTACATCATTAAATGTAGTCTGTGAGCAGCGTATGCTGTCCGTCTATCTGTGACTTGCAGCAGGGTGTGTGCTGTAGTTGGAACAGATCATTCTTCAGGGATAATAGGGGAATTCTCACCTCTTAAATGAAACGCTCGCTCAATAGACACGTAACCGATAACGACACTGACAGGTAACCAGTGGATTATTAGGGATTTGTTTGCAAAATGACAAGTCTGCTCAAATGCTCTGATTTGCTTTCAAAACATTTGGTTTAAAGATATAAAAAAATCCTGATATTTCACTCACCTTGTCCAACAGCAGCAGCTTCTCTTTCGTCTTCAAGTCCACAATCTCCACTTCAAAGTAAACTATCCTTTTCGTCTTCTTTTGTGGTTTCGGCTTCGGCTTTGGTGTAGGCTTCTTTTCAGCTTCTGCTCCATTTTGGCTTTTTGCCTCCAAGGCTAAAACATCCATGATTCTGTTTGATTCAAAACTTCAAAAGTCTGCTAAAGTAGTATTTGATCTTCAAGTTCCTCAGATATTTTCAGTAGATATGAGTCAAGGCTCCCAAACCACATCTACTGTACTAAAGTTGCAGTTTGGTTTGGAAAAGCTTAGGATCCAAAATGAAGATGTCTCAGAGCTGAGAAGACAGAGTACTGAACAAAAATAGCCTCTTCCAGAGGTGGAGGGAAGGTGGAGTTCAGTTGACAGAAAATGGGGCTTAAAAAGAAGATATGATCAGTACCTGAACAGCAGCCTGATAGACATCCTCAGCCCTCCGTGCATGCAACAAAACGCACTGAAGACGAAACTGGAGAGGACCAAGACATAATCCATAGTGCACCATTTGCAAGGCTAAATATAAGTCCCCTGATTCTCCCAGCGGCGGCTTGGTAACCTCAGGAAGCCACATGCAGCTCTACCCGATGACACATCCAATATGCCCTCATTAGACTCGTAAAACACACATCCTGTCTGTTCTCCTGCACACTCAGCTTGACAGTCAAAGCCTAATCCATCAGGTAAGAACAAATCTCCACATGTCAAAACCTGACGCTACACCTCCACCCTGTGACCACCCGTGGAGCTGCTATTCCTTCTGAACTCTGAGGACAAAGATAACAGGATCATCTCAGGACCTCTGAGTTAAATCATCTTTGAAAGCTTTCGTGGTGGGAGGAGAGTGGAGAAAATGCTGATTGGGAGGAGATCAGAGATACCTTTCATCACACAGGGTCAGCACATCAGCTCACATAGCCAGCTGCATATCTGTATTCTACGCTCTATTTATAACAGGTTCAAGCTGTACAAGCAGGCAGTAAGCAGCTGTAGCATGTGTTCACACTGAGTCTCTGATTAAAAACATTCCAGGATCACTATTAATGACCAACACAAAAAAGAAAAAAAAGAAATCCGAACATCAGAAAAGGTTATTCTCTTTAGTGCTTTGATCTCAAATATAAGAATTTTAAAAAGGCACATAATTAGAGCACTGCTCTCAAACAAATCGGTTTAAGCAAACACAAAACAACCTAAACTTACTTGATGCAAACTATAGTTAGGGTTTTAATGATATTAGGTTGATATCCTCTATAAATTGAAAAATATTGAGAGTTTAGAGGCTCAAAACCCAAATCCAGTTTTAAAAGCTAAATATAGGGTGTTGTTTTTATTAAGGCTGCATAGTGACGCAGTGGGTAGCACGCTTGATTCCCTGCGTGGGACGGAGGGTCTTTCAGCATTGGAGTTTGCATGTTCTCCTTATGCATGTGTGGGTTCTCTCCAGGTACTCTGGCTTCCTGCCACAGTCCAAAAACATTACTGTTAGGTTGATTGGCTTCTCTAAATTCTCCTTAGGTGTGAGTGTGTTCTCTGTTGTAGAAGTCCATCATTAGTGACCCCATGCTGTGAAGTCTGTACATCCATCATTAGATTATAAACAGAATGAATTTAGGAAATAAATAAATGAATAAATGAAATATTTACAAATTCCAGTTTAAAAAGTGCTTTGTAACTCCAATATTTTGCACATTTCAAACTGAATAATTAATGGTATTTATTAATCCATTATTAAATACTGCAGTTTGAAAATATTCTAAACCCTTAAGGAAAGTAACTTTCCTTAAGAAACATTTAAAAGGGTAAGTCCCCTTTTCATTTGCTGCATCTTCTTGTCACTTAACCCTCTCTATTTAGCATTTCTGACTACAGAGTTCAGTGCAGTTCGAGTCAAACATACTTCTTTTCACTGACTCCTCTGGGCCTCCATACAAGGCATGACTTGTTTTTGTTTGATCCATTTTTATCTCCGTTATTATTCATATTTTTCATAATAATTTGTGTTTTAGTAAACAATTGGCAGATGAAAATAGCAAAGAAGGATTCCTGGGTGTGCAACTTCTTAATTAGGTACTTAATTATTTTGAAAAAATTAGAAATAAGTCAGGTTTTTCCTTTTACTGAAACATGCATTTACATTTATCACACTGATTGAAGTCTGGGTTTTATTGCAGTTTCTCTAAATTATCCCTAGTGGGGTCGTGAGGTGTGCTTGTGCCTATCTCCAGCTGTCCACAGGTGAGAGTCGGGGTATACCCTGGACAGGTCGCCAGTCTATCACAGGGCAACACAGAGACAAACAGGAAAAACAACCATTAATGCACACACTCACACCTAAGGTAAAATTAAAGAAGCCATTAACCTATCAGTCATGTTTTTTGACTGTGGGAGGAAGCCAGAGTACCGGAGAGAAGTAATGCATGCTCAAGGAGATCATGCAAACTCCATGCAGAAAGACCACAGGCCGGGAATCAACCTAGAACCTTTTTGCTGCAAAGCAGCAGTGCTACCCACTGTTCCACTGAGCAGCTACAATACCATAACAAACAGTTTGAAGAAGAAGTAATATTTCTAGAACATTCAATCCAGGGAAGACTAACATCTGTATTAAATGTTATAACCACTGCAGAATAATATCCCTCGGATTGTTTGGTAGGTGCCTGCCAACCATGCCCATCCTGATGGGCAGCAACAATTGCTTCAATAAGGTCATTGCTGACGTGTTTGGTTATTGGCACTGTATTAATACTCATCTCAGCCGGATGCTCCGGACCATAAAGCTGCCAACACCCCTGGATGAGAGGTCCACACTTCCTGATATTTCAATCTATCAAATGCATTTTGTTGGCTGATAACTTATTAATTCTAGGAAAGCAGTGATGTTTTTGTTTTATCTTCTAACAATCAGCTTGTTCTGTTTGCATTCAACTTTACTTAATAAATAAAAGCAGTGGGTCATTTGTCCTATTATTCTTATTCAAATGTAATAAAAAACTTAAAGTTTAAATAAAAACTTGGATGGAAATAAGATGTACTCTCTGTTTTTTGAGAAATGTATTTGCTCCATCTAAAAGCTTTTTGGTTTTTCTGTCTTTGTCACACCTAAATGATTTTACATCATTACTAAAAATTTGCTGTAGATAAGCTAAGAAAATGAAAATATAAAATTATAACTTTAATAATTAATGGCAAAGGCAATCAAAATCAATCTGACCCTATAAAAAATTTAAATGGCTACTAAACAAAGTATCTGCAGGTGCCACCCATGAGGGGTAGCAAATATAATTTTAGAAAACTAACAGTTAACCTTGAACATTGCTATAGAGGAGTTTTTCTTCTGGGTTCTAAAACGTTTTGTTGGTTTTATGCCAAATCTAACAAGATGATGTTTGCCCTCAAAAAGTCCAAGTGTTACCAGGCAGCAGATTATGTTTTTTCTAAAGCCATTCGGTCCTCTTGACAGTTTTTGGCATTTGTGCTCTGTTTAGATGCCACAGCCTTTTTTTTTTTTTTTTTTTTTTTTTTATTGGATTATAAACGGTACATTTAACGTAGAAGAGTAAGGCCAGTGGTGCTTTAGATGGTGTTATCGGTTATTTGTGACCTCCTGGATCTTTCAGGGCGGAGCTAGGGGGGTGGCTATATAGTAAAGCAGGTGATTTGTTTTTCCCACGTGGACTTAAAGGTACAGAGGACGATCTTTTATTTCTGGGTGGATCATCTAAATAAGCGGTCCTCCTATTTTTCAATCATTCTGGTGATATGTTTCCATATGGCCGTCCTACGTGCTCGCCCCCAGTTAGCTCTCTTTTTCTGCGCATACGCACTTTCCGGTGTATATTTGTAGTGAGCTACGGTTTCAGAGAGTCATTGAAGCCCGCCTTTCTCCCCGCGGTTCTTTGAAAATGGCAGAGGGTCGTACGATAGAGTCCTGCAACGTGTCGGGTACCCGCGGGTCCCCGACGGGTCACCCGCTAAAATGCTCTTTTGCAGGTGAAAAATACATAAATAAAAATAAACGGGTACGCGGGGTCGGGCAGATATTTTGTTTAGTACGGGCGGGTAGTTGGTGATTTTTTTTTTAATGCGTGTGTTGTTATCGACATCAGAAATGTTATATTAATCAGGCACTGGGGTCACCCTTGTTGTAGCTTAAAGCCCTGCCAGCAGTGTGGGCTTCCCTCCAAAAAGGCCACAGTCAGTGCATACACGTCTGCTGCAGTGTTAATGGCACTGCTCTGCTGCGCAGCGTACTATAGCCTATTATTTGATGTGTTAACGGGTCGGGTTGCGGGTTAAATATCAACGGGTCAGGTCGCGTTCAGATTTGAATTGAAGATATCCGCAGGGTATCGTGAAGATATCGTGCAGGACTCTATCGTACGAGACAAAGTTTCTACGAAGTGTATGAGAAGAAAAGAAAGGCCACAGAAGAGGCAGGTATATCCCGGAATGCTTTGTGCGGAAAGCACCCCTCGCAAAGCATTATGGGATTTGTTGTAACAGCAGCCCGATGTCGCTACCCAGCAGCATACCCGCCTAATAACCAAGGGGTGCAGGGGCATGCAGGTGGAACAGCGGCTAGCGCGCACGACCCATGTACTTAGTCCTCAACGCAGCGGACCAGGGTTCAAATCTGACCTGTGGTCCTTTGCCGAATGTCTCTCCACCTCTCTCATACCCACTTTCCTGTCAGCCTACTGTCGAAAAAAAAACAAAAAAAACAAGCCACTAGTGCAAAAACTAAAAAAAAAATAAGATGGCACAGACACCATGCGGTGGAGGAAGAGTTATGTGACCAAAGGAGCAAAAAGCAGTGATCTTTGGTCCGAACCGTAAGTTAACTTAGTTTGCTATATAGTTTATCAAGATTTCGCCACACTATACAGGCGAATGTTCAGGCGCAGTAAGCTTGTATGAGTTATGAGAAATGCAACTTTTAAACAGAAGAGAAATTGACTTGTGCATGATCTCACACTTGTATTTTTTTTAATTGGAGAGGGCGGGTCTTTTAAAAGATTTGCAAAAATCTGCCAAAATATCTTCAAATGACCAACTCTTGAACAAGCAGTTCCTCTCTAAACCAGAGGGGGGCAGCAGGGATGCTCCCAAGTAGAATTTCCTAATGACATTCATTTCACATTTTGATTCTTAAATTCTATAAATCAACGATAACAAAAACAAAAATAGATATTTACATTAATATATTAAAGTTTAAGAAAACAAATTCCTCCTCTTTTCAGCGTTAGTTTTTGTGTTTTATGGGGAGAAAGGAAATATGTTTCTCTGCAGTCATTTCAGACAGGGTTTCCCAAAGTGGGGTCAGGACTCCTATGGGGGTCGCAAGATGGTTTGTATAATCATTGATGTCATTCCTGAGATATATGGAGGGACAAAATATACAATGAAAGCTAATTTATGAATTTATTTAATACATGATTTAAATATTAAAGATGCCTTTACATTGTAAAATGCACAATTTAATAATTAAAGGTCCCATGAAATACATTTAAAATGATTGATTTAATAAATACAGTTATTGAAGTATTAAAATATAAATAGAAGCTGCACATCATATGTATAAATAAATAAATAAATAAATAAATAAATAAATAAATAAATAAAGTTTTTGTATGTTTCCAGTCTATTGCATTGCTATTTTTGGTTTTACAGACTGCAAGTTTTGGAAACCCCTAATGTGGGGTGGCAGTCTTCTCTCATCCCACCCCCTAACAATCAAAGTATGATGGACCATGTGTATTAACAGTTTTTTTTTTTTTCTTGAATGATAAATTGTTTTGAGGACCT